AGATCATCTGTAATAATGATTTTATTTACAACCAAGAGAAGGTCATCTGAAATATTCAATGGAACAGTAATTCAATTAAAACTTATAAAAAATGTCTGAAACCCAACGCGGAACAATAAGAGCATGGATCACATAATTAGCTCAAGATATTTATTGTACATGCCTAATAATACATTGTGGGTAATGGGATTTTGTTGGGACTATAACGAACCCAAAGTAAGTCTACGTAGACTTTATCGAAGACTCACCGTTAAGCCTAACCTTATCAAATACAATATTTAAAAACAGTGACCTGATATAGAAAAAATATATTATTAAAAATAAATTTTTATCATTATTTATTTAAGATATTATTTATTACCTTCTGATAACTTTTGTCATTGTCATACATCTTAAAAAATAATAATAGAAAAATGTGAATTATTCATGAATTGCTTTATGAATCACTTGAGATACTTAAGTTACAAACTAACTTACTTAAGCATCAATGAAAAATATTTATTTTATTAGATATTATGGAAATTGTTGTTCTAGAAATATTGTACAAAATTTTATAAAAGTCTAAAATAACCATAAATAAAAAAAATTTTAGTCTCCTTTTACCATTAAGTTTTTACCATCTCCTTTTACCATTAAGTTTTGAATATTCATTACTTTTCTTTCCTTAAGGCCAAAGTAAAAAATTGATTTTGCTTAAAATCGTATCAAGCAATTAAGTTAATTACACATAATTTATGCGCCTAATTAGTTAAAATTAAGAGGTGTGTAAACACTTAAAGCTTATTTGCTTAATGCGTTATTAAATTAAGTAGCCTTTTTGAAGGAAAAACACCAGCAACTCAGCTTTTGTTACCGATGCCAGCAAGGTATGCCACTGTGGCGAATAATTTAAGTTGATGCTGGATAAGGAATGGCGAACCTTTTCAAAACAATATGGCGCACAAGGAAGTGTTTAATTGTATGAATTATAAAATCAGATAAAATAAAAAAAAATTTTAGTTAAGCTTGTATTTTCACATGAACCTAGTGAATAAGGGAGTGCTAAGCAATAAAGCTTCTTTTTTTAGTTACACTTGAATATAATTAACTGATCAGACAAAAAAATATGTATTTGTAGGTACTGATAATACAGAAACCTTTTTGTGTATTTTAGAAAATACAATATACAGTTTTTTATGTTTTATTATTTGTCAGGCAGTTGCTTTAATGTTTCAGAGTTTATTCATTAGTTTTTAATTGTTTTTCTTTAATTATTACCAAGAAGTGGGTTCTGGATAGTAGATAACAAAGCCTGACAACTGTGATTTTACGGATTCAAGACACACTACTTCTTTGAAAAAATTTTAGGTAAGTTTCTGTTTCAGGACCTGAAATCATCGCATTGTTTAAATAAAACAGACAATACTTTAAGTGTTCAAAGTGATATCAAAACAGGATTTGAAATAGGAGAATCTAAAACGGAACATTCATCTTCTAGCAACAGCCGGACAGTAACAAAGATTTTGACATCCGATATAAATCAAGAGCTATTAAGATAGCTTTTATTTTATTTATGATCACTATTTTCGTATATGATTATCTGCATTAGTAGGTATATTAAAATGTGTCAAATTATATGGGGTTATTAAATTTGTGATTACTAGAGTAAACGTGATTAAAAAGTATTTATGACTAAGACACGATCAAGCTTTTATTTCAATATTTTTTTTTGGATCTAGTCATTAGGTGTTGAATACAATATCTTTCAAATGTCCTCTTCGCGACATTGCACAATACAGGACCCTTTTGGGATACTTTTGGATAATTTGTCAGGACATAGCTACCAATAGCACAACTATAATTTAAAAGATATTATAAGTTTACTAGCTTTGTGAATTTTAACATAAAAAAATCCATTACATGTGACTAATCGCATGTAACGGTCCATCCCTATCTTTAATTTAACGCCTAAAAGATTGGAAATCATGTAACTGTAATGATCGAAACTGAAGGGATGTGTTGTACCTTAGCCATGCTCAAAAATGTACAGGCTTGTTATACCGTCTGATTAAATGCCACCAAATGATATACAGTTATACAGTGACTTTTGGTGAATATATTAACCTTTCGACTGTTACTCAGGAAGTTTTATTATTGTTGGTGCGGCAGTTTTCTTAATATGCCCACCAAACGAAAAATTAACTCCATTCGTCATGATAATTTGACGCAATACGAAATTCGTTGTCACTGTTTTTATAGGTTGTCACGATCCACATAAGAAAGTGGCAAACCTGAAAATTAACAAAGGTTCTCTTGGACGACAGTTGTGATTGACATATGCCACTAAAACTGTGCTGCCAAATCAAGATAATGAAATGGATAATCTTTTGGTACATTTACTAGGTACATTTTAATAAATTTTAAATACTGCCCGAAAGTTATTAATAAAACAGTTGTAATATTTAGCTACACATATTTTTTATTTGAATATAATTAATTGAATAAATTAATTCATACAATGAATGCTGTGTGGTTATTTCCTTATTTTATGTAAAACTTTTATTTTTTTTTAACAATTATACAAATATAATTCTTAACCCACAAGTGTATTATTTAAAAAATAATATATCAATTGTTTAAAACATAAATCTTATATATAGTTTCATTAATAATTGTTTAAATAAACGTTATAATTTGCTTCAACTCCGGAGAACATGTTCCATATCACTAATATCTAAGCATGATATTTTTATCATTTAAAAATTTGCCCACACCTGCAATTGTCTAATGTACATGAACACGTTACTGAAGTGTGATTAATGTGGGTTTAAGACAAAAGATGGCTACACAATTTTGGTTTTCTAAAGGAATGTAGAATGTAGTTTCGAAAATGTTTTGTGGCTTCCAATGCCGAAGTTGAAGTGTTTTTGAAAACACTTTAATAACAATGAAATACCATTAAAGTATTTAAATGTTTTCATCTGTAAGAAAATGTTTTGTTGAAAATGTTAGGAAAATATTTATTTAAAACTATTATAGTAATTAACATTAATTATGATATTATTAAAAAAGTTGATTACTTTATAAGCATATATATAAAGTATTATTATTAAATTTGTTCAAAAATAAAAAATTGATACAAATTAGGCTTCAGTTTTAATATTAACATTAATAACATTATAATAATAATATTTATTATTTATTTATTTTGATAAACTAAATTATTTTAAAGTTAACTACGAATTAAGACTGGACACTAGGTCTTAGCTCTATATAATTAATAAATATATAGAATAATATATATAGAATATATATATAATATATTATTTATTGTCGTAAAAATTATTTTAATTATTAATTATTTATTATAATAATATTAATAATATTAAAATTTTCATATTCAAATATGACTTTAAACTTTTAAACAAATCAAAAGTGTGCAATAGTTTTTCCAAATGCAGAGAAAAAAAATGATATCAAAATAATATGTAACTTAATATGTAATTAATTCATTTATCATCAGCGAAGAAAATTCAGAATTATTCTTTAAAATTTAAGAAATAAGAACATGTGTTTTGTGAAAAAGAGAGGATCCACCAAAAAAAGCAATTCAAGTGTCCATGAAGTTATGAGGATCGAATTGTTAGTTATATTCTTGATGACTGTTCAATACTTTCTTAATAAAGTGCGATGGCTGATCTGTATGCGGAACTTCTGATACTATATCTACATTAAAAGTCATTTTATATTTGAATATGTATGCTTTTTGTGTAATACAATTACTTTTTGAAATTTGTCATACTATGCAAGGGTTGGCTTTTAATTCTTGGGCCTAACAATAAAAATACAGTAGCTAATTAGTGAAAATGGTTTTATTGTTTTTCGGAGTATTCTCCATGATGATGAATGCACTTTTGCATTTAATTGAACCAATTTTCGAAACAGTTTTACCATTTTGAAGTTAGTGTCTCCGAAACCAGGGTTTTTAATGGCTCAATGGGAGTGTAGAATAAAGCTCGCCACGCATCGTTTCTTAATGTTTGAAAATAAAAAAAAGTGATTGTGTGCCAAATTGGGACTGTGAGTCGGATGACCCAACAATTCGACTTACAATCGCAATACTGATGATGACTCTTAAGGAGAGTGGAATATAGAGTATAGTAACACAAAAAAAAATAAAAGTTTTTTTAAACGTTTAATTATTAAACGTTTAATTATTAAGAAGGGATCTACAGCCAGTTTAAAAATATATAAAAAATCATTTCTCTATAGAATTTCTAATGATTGATTATTATACAGCAATTACTCCTATTTATTTATTCATTTTATAAGAAAAGCATATTGAAAGTATATCTTATTGTTAAAAATACGGCGAAATATTAATTAATTTAAAAAAAAAACACCAATTCACTGTTTCCAAAATATTAGAAACGTTTGACTGCTTTATATAAAGGTAGAATATAAATTAAAATATATCAGAAATAAAAACCAGAATATAAATTAAATTTTGCATTAAGAACTTTCAGTCCCAATGGGTGTTGTCTTATTATTAAAAAAATAATTAAAATGCAATAGCTCAAGAAATTTTCAATTTTGTATCTTAAAATTTTCATTCAAGTAGAGTGAAATGCTTTTATATTTTCCTCAAAAAGAAAACTATCTCAACTACAAAACTTATAGTAAACAATTCGTGTGTTCTCAATTTAATCGAAAGTTTGCTTGAGATTTTTATGTCAACAATTGAAAAACTATGCTTCGAAATTTAATGAAAACTTTGAAGAGCATCGATAAACTACGAAAAATCAATTTTTAGAAAAATTTCACGAAATTTTCGATTTAAAAACTTAACAAAAAACAACAAAGGAAATTGCTTGAAAGAATTCAATGAACTTAATTTTTTATGAGCATCACGCGATGCACTGAAACAAAACACGTTTCATGCTCAACACAGTGGAAGAACACATCACATCATATGCACACATTTAAGACTTTGCACAGCTGGCTGCCCCCGGAATACGTACTTCAAAACTGCAAAGTTTTTATGTTTTAATCCTTCCTCTTCCTTCTTATTTGTTCTTTTGCAACGAAAATCATTATTTCGACGAAGTTGAGTAACATTCCATAATTCCGCCATCTTGTCGTGTGTTTACCTCATATGTTGCATGCCTTAAGGAGAGTTCTCTTCAGGAAGGATAATGCTAAATGCTCTTTATCTTTTTTTTTTTCTTTTGAATTAAAATACATAAATATTAACTTGAAGTTTAATTTTTAAAAATATAAAAATTTAGTTTTATCTGCGAGTTCAAGAAATCACTTTAACTGCTAAAATTATTTTAACAGTGCTTTATTATTTTAACGGGAAAAACATCATTGAAATTGACTATGTTCTTTAATAGTGAATTATTAAATTCTCAGCTCACGAACAGATATTCAGGCTTTCTGAAGATTGGGGTTATAATGGAAACTGCTTATTCAAGGACACTAAACAACTATTAGAACCTGTTATTAGAAACTACCCGGTAGACCTGTAGAACCTGATGGATAGGTACCGGGCAGGAAACGGATCGATCCGCCATCTGAGACGTCTCGAAGATATGGAGGCATGCCTGCAGACTGATTAATCCAAATGTATGACAGTCTTCGAAGACATTTTCGAACAAATTAACCAAGTAGGTATCTTTGAAAACATTTTGCGTACATGTCTCGAATGCGTTCATGTCTCGAAGACTGAATGCGTCCATGTCTCGAAGACTAGATGCGTCCATGTCTTGCATAGCGAATTTACTCGTAGCTAAATTAGAATTAAATTAAATTAAAAAGAGTGAATGAAATAGAAAATTTGAAATTTAATTTGCTTGTTCACTTTATTCTAATTGGCACTGATAATAACAATCACTATAATTAAATAGAGTAAGTAAAATATATACTATTTACATTAATGTTTTAAGCAATTGTTTTACAAATTTGCTTAATCATGCGGGTGCAGTGTCTCAAAGCCAATATCTTCAAAGACAACTTTTCCAACTGGGTAATGATGAACACAAAGTTCATAAAGCCCACTCTACATATAGTAAACAGTAATAGAGTAAGAAAAATGCTAATCAATAAATTATAAAGTTCCAAGTCACTGAGTTTCTAATTCGATTGGTTGCTAAAAGTTTTAACTCTTCATGAATCTACCTTCTTTGGACTACCAAATAATTGTTTGGTTGTTTAACACGGCAGTCCTGTTAAATCTACTCCGCACGATTTAAGAACTTCAGAAGATTCTTAATATTAATTATCGCTTAAATAATTAACCAATAATAAATAATAATATTGATACAATTATTGAATACAGCTTACCAAGGGTAGCTGTTCTCTGCCTCCAGAGAGCAGATCATGAACAAAGATAATCATAATTTTATTTTCCTCTGACTGAGGATTGATATATTCCTTAGTTAAAACATGACTGTCATAAGAGGAGACTGAAATTGGATATATCAATACATGATATTACAAAACATGAGGTTCACTTGTGGTATCCAACCGGAGGCGAAAATTCGGTTACATGGATGTCAGAGACTACATTTTTTCGATCAATAAAAGTTAACCTCTTAAATGGCATTCTTTTTTGATTCTTATTTTCTTTTTGGCGATACAATACAAATCAACGCATATCAGGGTATTAGAGTATCTTCCATTAGAAAAATACTGAATTGTTCAATAAGTTCGAGTGATTCGAGTTCGAATAGTAATAATCTACTACACCCAATTCCACCTAGCCATTATACAAGATTAAACAGAAGCAGTTTATTAATAGAGTCTGAGTTCATACTATCAGTTCTTTTAGATCTCTGGTATATAAAAAAACTGCATCTTCCATTCAACACTCAATACAGAAGTTTTGGAAACTTGTATGTTATGAAGCAACGGTTCCACGCTTTTTCTGTGGACAATCACAGCTTTGACTAGCAGAAGGCACCGATTTTTAGGAAAGTACTTTCTTGAAAGTCTGTCAGACTACTCATCTCTAAGAATAAAAATTTTTTTAAATTCTAAGATGAATTTATATGGTTTTAGAAGGAACTAATATTTCTACAGGAGGTTCTTACAAGGAATGTGACATTGAAACTAAAATTATTGGAGCCGGAAGGGTATCTGTCGATCGATCTTTGTAGTCCAGCAAAATAAGAACCTGATTAACTTTACTCAGTCTCTTATGCATGCAAAATTTTCAGAGTTCCATATCTGTTCAATGATTATTTTGTTTATCATTAAGTAGTATGATAAAATTAATTAAAGCATTTCTATTACTTGATACCGAATTCAATCCACTCCACTTATATGTATTATATGTTAATTGGGTTGCCTGAAACTGCAAGAAGTATACTTATCAATATTTAATCTATGAGGAATAAAATTTTGTGACTATAATTTTTTAGTCTTCAACCTAAAAGCATTCAATCATTCAGGCTTGTCACTGGTAGGCGTTTTATGGAGAAAGTATGTCACTTTTGACATTGGCAAAATATTTCAAAATATTTCATTTATATTTTTTTCTGGGACATTTTTTTCACCATTCATCATTTACAATCCACAATTTTTTAATTATTCTACCTGCTCTTAAAAAAATGTTCACTTGTCGACTTTAATCATCTTGTGCTATATTTATTGCTTATAACTTGGGAGGAAGATTGAAAAGAAAATTATTTTGACATTTTTTGTAATTGAAGTGAAAGTATCTGTGAAAAATGTGTCACGAAAAGGTAAATTTCACTTGTTAAGTTAAAATCGTTTACTAACACCAAAAATTTTGTTAATGTTAATGAAATGAGATTTTATTGACATAGGACCTTTCTAAACCCTTTTCGATGCATTAAAGTTTTATTAGCATAAGTGGATGGTGGGTGTATGGGTATTAGAGACACATTAATTTTTTATTACCATAAATGGGGTTCATAAAACGGTCGTCTTAATATATTTATCTAGAGTCCCAAGGTCAAAAAATTTTTAAAAGGGACAACTAATAAATTTTAATGAGCTATGAAGTAGTTATGTAGATACAGAGAATGTGAAACAGGTCATTTGCAAAAATTAATTAATATAACAAATTCTATTTTACAAATTATAATTTGCACATTTTAGAATTAAAGTATTTTCATTGAAATTAAAATAAAATAAATATTTGTGCAATAAAATGCAATTAAATTTTTTTTGCGATAATAATTTTGTATATGAAGTAATTTTTGGTGTTAATATATGCGCTTGACGAAATATTTATTTGCATATATATATATTTAATTTATATTAAATATTTGCTAAAATTTAATCTCCTTGTCTACTGAAGGGTTCAGATTGCTTGTAATATTCCCGGGCTATGATAAATGCCAGCAATCTTCTTTGCAGTTCTGGTGCTGTGCTTACTTGATTTATTATTTTATGCGTGTTAGGAGCAATTAAATGTGCTGGCTTGTGTGCTTGGCTAACATTTGTGCTACTGCAGCTGCTAAATTGATTAATTAATTTTGAAATTGTTTATGAAGTTTATACATTTAATTTAATGAATCACATAAATTAATTTTGCAGTCTTCAAAATTACTAAGCAAAACTATTTTAAATGTAAAAGGTAAGTGTAAGTGTAACATAACAATATGAATAATCTGTTATATTGGTATTAAGGGTCAACACCGAGTAAAAGATATTTGTTTTTCTATTAAATATGAAGCAATATGAATAATATGAAAATAAATAATAAATAATACGAAATAATAATATAAATAGAAATTGATTGAGTACTGGCTCCCAACAGAGCTACACACTCTTATTATGATAAATCTTTTATAATATTTTTGTTTTTAAAAGGGCTAATTGGCCAACGCTTAACCCAATCTTCCATACACTTTTCGTAGGCCCGTGAAGGTATGGATTTTAGTTTCTTCAGCGAATTCTCTTTTACCGATTCGATCTACTCAAAACGCTTACCACGAAGGCGCAATTTGAGTTTCGGGAACAGGAAAAAGTCGCACGGCGCCAGATCTGGCGAATATGGTGCCTGAGCAATGACAGTGGTGCCGTGTTTGGTCAAAAAATCGCGTACAACAAGAATTTTCCATAGTAAAATCGCTAAATGTATTTGAGGTAGTTTCACAATAACAGCTGCTGTAAACAAACTAATTAACAGATGGCGCTCAAATTTGTACCATATGTCAAGAAAAAGGTCTATTACTTAAGGAGTAGTTAACAAACAACATAATCCAGATAGTTTTTGAGCAGAAGATATATACTTTGCTACCTTTTTGGCAATGATTTTAAATGGCATTGATGTATTTACCAATCTTTTATGCTTCTACTATGTGCTTTATATTAAAGCAACGGAAATTTAATAAAACTCTATATTAAAATAATACAAAACAAGTACTATATGAGATTAGGTGTCAAGCGCGTGAGTCTGTGTTTCAAATTTGGCAGGGTTCAAGTTCAAAGTCTAGCAATTGCAATTTAAAAATTATGTATGGACAATTTCATCCAATTACAGTTTGCAAAAACCATTGATGTTAGATAGTCGGTAAAATCCGGTCAGCCAGAAAATTACACAAATGAAAATTAAATGTTTGACTTTTTCAATTATTTGAAAAAGTCATATAAAAAATTGTTGTCAACTATTTTTTAATTTTAAAATAGACTTTTGTTTATTATTTAGTTCTGTATATTTTTATGAATCCTTTGTAATAACAATTTAAACAATTAATAATAATTTTGGTCATTAAAGCAATAAATTATATGTGTTAATTTTTTCTTGCCGAGTGTGACGCGTCTTTATACGAAAAGAGATTATTTAAAAGTTAGACGGATTCGAATAGCAAACAAAAGACACAGACAAAAATTTAATTCAATTTATTGATATTTGGCTGGCCATACAACGCTGTTTCGAGTATTGTCAAGATTGTTACTTAATTAGTTTATAGTCCGTATATAATTTGTTTAAATTATATAATTATAACAATTTATATAATTACTAATAATTTTAGTCATTAAAACAATAAATTTTTAATTTACACAATTTTACGAATTTGAAAATCTAAACAAATTCAAAATATTTTGTTCACAAATTTTTAAGTATTTTTTAAATAAATTATCTCAAAACTATAAATT